TTTTTTTTTTTTTTTTTTAATCTATTATTTAATTCAGGAAAATTATGTCAAGATCACGTCCACACAGCGGACCAGGCCAACTGTGGACGCGGCCTCATATGCGGCCGCAGTTCGAGATTGACCCCGCGGATGCATCCGCGGGTGTTTCATAGAGAGAGAGAACAGGTAAGTTTCCAATCTTGCGGCTAACCTCATGGTACTTCCACCCAGAGGAGGAGCAAGATCGAATGAATCTCCCGCTACAACATAGAAATATACACCGCCACTTGCGCCCACCCGCTGTCGCGCCTTCGCCCCCGCTCGCCCGCAGGATTGCCGTTTGTGAGTGTGTGTGTGTGTGTGTGTGTGTGTGTGAGAGAGAGAGAGAGAGAGAGAATAGAACAGGTAAGTCTCCAACCTCGCGTACTTCCATCGATAGGATGAGCAAAATCGAATGAATCTACCACTGGAACATGGAAATATACACTGCCACGTTTTTGCCTCCTCCCGCTGCTGCGAGCCTTGGCCCCTTGGCGCCCTCGCTGCCTCAAAAAAAAATTGCGGGGCCCTGCGCGGCCTCAATTTTTTTTCTTCTTTTTTCGTTAACCGGCGGCGCGAAGTGCCTGCCGGCCTTGCAACCGCCCCCCACAACTTTCGTTCTTTTTTTGTGATCCCCTATTTCACAATGCGCCGCATGCGATGCGCGCGCGTCGTGCGCACTGCGGGCTGCGGCGCACGTGCGCGTTGCAGCACATGGCAATGCGCCGCATGTATGATCTGGACTTAGACCCAGCTATTGGCCGCGGAAAAAATGCAGTAGAATCGTTTCTAGTTGGTCAACTTGGGCGCTCCTGTAGCGGCCCGTACGTTTCCTAAAACTGCGGCTTGTTAACGGGCACAACTTTAGGGAATAGTGGTGTTTTGAGAATGCCGTACGGTAACCCTCAAAAGCTAAAAATTTCAGCCTCAATTGGGCCAATTTGGTCGATTCAATTTCATTCAAAAAATGAAAAATGCGAGGAATAAGCCTCGCAGACCCCTTATCAGACATACAAGTCTTCTGGGCTGTGGCCCTTACCAAGCCTCGTGCCCTCCCTAAGTGAAGGCGCCCCTGAATATCCAAGTGAGGCCCCTGTTCTCAACTATTTTTCCATATGTGGGTACTCAGACAGTTGCGGCACGCCAGTTGGTTACAGAGCAACGAGGCGTCGTGAGCCTCCGGGCTCTTCTCAGAAGCAAAGGGCTGCGCTGTACAGTTGAGCCCAGGGCGCAAGCGGTTCCGCCCTGTGTGAGGCTGACGACACTTGGAGGCTGGGTGGCTGCCTGGACGAGCCTAACTGCACGAGGCCCAGTCCATGTTCGGAAACTGGGCCTGGGCGCAGACACTTGGGGCCCAACTGATGCTACTGGGCCCCCCACATGCCTGGCCTGGACAACCAGCAGCGATTCCATAGAGGAAAGTGTGAGCCCCTGGCCGAGGCAGTCTGGCCTTGGCAGGCAATGCGGACACGCTGCTGCGTTGCTGCATTAGTGTCTGCATGGGCGCTGGGGGTCGGGCGCGCGCACGGGCGCTGAGGTTAGAGGGGCGCTGCGAGGCAGCAGGCGCACAGCAGCCATAGCCAGGCTGCAGGGGCGCAATCCAGGTGATGTCGAAGGTGGTCTTTGGGTAGGAGGCGCATGAGATGGGAAACGAGGGGTGATGAGGAGAGAGAGAGAACGTACTACCTGGTGTATGCTGGAGGTCGGCATTGGTGTTGACGTCACGTACCTTGGTCTTCGACTTCAGTGTCATCCAGTCGCTTGAACGTAGATAGGCTAGGTACACTGAGTAGAGTAGGCTGGGCGCTGAGCGCCAGACAGTAGGAGCGACATTGGATACAGTCTTGATGTGACCAGGAGTGTCGGCATTTGTACTTGAGTTCTTTGTATTGCTCTCAATATGTGGGTGGAATCTTGGTGCATTGTGCTTTCTGCTTGGTACATGACTACCTGGACTACTTCGTGATTTCCCAACTTGGGTTTCTGTCTATCGCTCTCGCTCATATTCCTTGCAAAAATGTCCATTTTTACGAAATCATTGTTAGTGCATCAATTCCTTTTGTGCAGTCCCACCAGTGGAATTTACACCATACAAATGTAACCGGAATATTATCTAAATATAATATCGACTCCCCTTTTATATGTTTTTAAAATCCTTCAACAGTTTTTTTTTTTTTTTTTTTTTTTTTTTTTTGTATGTTACATATTATACAAGCCGGGAAACAGGCCCGGCGTCCCTTACAAAAGTGTGTGGTGCCACAGGATGAGCGAGGCATCTCCGGTCAGGCTCAAAGAGGGGACCGCAGAATCCTACAGAAAAAGGAGAAAGGAGTCCGAACACGATGATCTCACAAGCACACAAAACCACAGCACCAAAAAAATCCTTCAACAGTTCATCTGCACAGCAGTGCGGAAATCATTGTCTGCACCTGATTTCCAGTCTTAGACCACAAAAAACCATCAAAAGTTTGTCACTGCAAAGCGGTCTACCTTCCAGTCAAGCTGCGCACGCGGCACCATCGGAAACCAGTTGCCCCCACCACAGAAAGACAAAAGAGTGGCTTTCCACAGAAAGATATCTTTCAAAAACAATAAAAAACTTGAGCTTTGCAACCGACGACTCTGCCAAACCGCTAGTGTGACCATCCTCTTAGCTACTTTGTTTAATTGAATGGCTGGTTGGGACAGTCTGCTGATTTACCTGGCCCTTCCTGTGCTCACATACATCTGTTTGTTAACAGATCCAGACCGAGCTTTTTTAATTCTGTTATACATGTTCACACAACAATGATTTCATCAAAACGGACATTTTATATTTTTTGAACGAAATTGAAAATCCATTTCTCGTCCTAAAACTCATGAAATAGGGGGTACTGCGTCTCGAAAACGCCCCACCCCCTGGACGTATCTGCACTTAGCTGCAGTCTGCATACATTCAAGCCGGAAAATGGCGGGGCCCTTAAATGCATGTGGACTTTTGATAAGTCCAGATACGTTGAGGGGGTAGGGCGTTTTCAGAACGCCGTACCTCCTTGCTCATGAATTCTTGCCCGAAAAATGGATTTTCAATTTCGTTCAACAAATATCAATGTCCGTTTTGACGAAATCGCAGCTACCCTACTTTCACGACTTCCTCTTCGCCCAGTCTACGGTAACCTCACTTACCCCGGTTACTCGTCTATTTTCCCCCAATGAATACCTAAGAGGCTAGTAGGAGCCATGTCCAAACTGGGTAAAGTTGTCCCTGCACCTGGAAAAGCATCTGAGGAGAGAAGTTCAATCAGTTAGATCGACCAAGTTACTAGTTACTAGATGCAATCATACCAAAAGTTCCCCCTCGCATTTGCCCCGATGCTATTGGGTTGTGCGTTCCTTCCTAGTATGTGCCCCAATGCTATTGGATTGTACGGATTGAAAAAGAAGAAAAAGAAGAAAAAAAAAGAAAAAAGAAAAAAGAGAGAGAGAGAGACATATCATGATATCACGTATTATCAACACCACTGGACCATACATCATCAATGATCAGACTGTGGACACATCTCCGCTCCCCGGGACTCCTTGGCTTATGGGTCCTTAAGAGAGCCTGTAAACGCCACCTTCTGGGCAATGTTGCTCAAGCACCGGCATAATACCATCGGACACCTTGTTTGGTCGGCAATGCTTACTGAAACTGGCGCAGCTCAGCCCCAAGTTGGCGATTTCCTGAGCCAGAGCAATATCCCAACAGCCGGCATTCGGGTCCAGAGCATTCTTGAAAGCTGCCTCGTCTTCAATAGCGTCCTCCACAATGCCGAGTGTGTTCCAGAACTTCCCGGTCAACATCTCCAAGAGAGTGATACCCAACGCGTAGATGTCCGTCTTCTCATTCAGGACGCCGCACTGAAAATACTCTGGGGCTATGTACTGAGAGTTACTTCCCAGGACAAGACGCATGGAAGTTTCTCCAGCCCCTCTTCGCGCTCCTTGGCTGTGATCAGCGACAAGCAACGCCTTATCCACCTCACCGAGCTTGGCGGCGAAGCTTTCGTCGAGGAAAATGTTTGCCGGCTTGATGGCACCGTGGATGATTTGACCACGGTGACCTGTGGCAGGCGAACTTGAGTGAAGGACGCACACCGCGCGGGCGACCTCTGCCATAATGCGGAAGCGAGCGTACCACGGCAAACACCGTCTTCCTTGGCCCTCTCCACAGGTGATGCAGTCCTTGATGCTTCCGTTTTCCATGTGCTCATAAACGAGACACTTCTCCTCGCAACAGACTCCCAACAGAGTGAGTAAATGGGGATGCCTCAGCACCTTCAACCTGTCGACGACCTTTGTCCGGAACTCGGAGGGATGAAGCTTGGGCCCATCGTCCGTGTCGCCGAGCTGCTTCACTGTTATTGCGGTAACCTCGCTGCATAGTTTCCCGCGGTAAATAGTATTACTTCCATTTTGATCCCCATGATCGCCAAACGCGCACGTGATGTCAAAATTGTCGGTCGCATCCTGAAGCTCCTTGTAAGAGTACTCCCTTACTTCTCCTGAACCCACTTCCATTCCCAATCTTTGCTCCAACTCTTCAATCATCAGCTTCCAGTTCTTCTCCATTCTCTGGTGCTCCGATTTCAGTTTTTGGAGCACTTTTGAGTATTCCTGCTCCGTATTGGTTGTGCCTCTTCTCTCCATTTGCCACTTCCATTCAGACTTGGCATGGACTTCCTCTTTCTGCATTAAATTTTGCTCATTGACTTGCTTCTCCAAAGAAAGCAATCTCGACCTCTGCTTTTGTTCCACCTTCTTCTTTTCCTTCCCACTTGTGACCACCTCGACGACTGCGAACCCTCCGCGACCCCCAACCATTATCAGATTTGAGTGTCTGCAAGGCACTGCTATGAAAGGATACCTTATTCCCGGATTCTTTTCAAGCAGAACCTGCTGATAGCTGGACTCACTCCAAAGTCCTATGCCCTCGCCCCAATAGCTTATGGCGAAGATGTACGGCAAGTTTGGGTGAAAGAAGCATGAATCTACACTGTAACTGAATTGTCCTAGAAGCTTGGCTTTACATTCTCCTCTTCTATAGTCCCACACTCTCACTTCGCCATATGTATGCCCTGTGACGAGCAGGGACTCCTTGTTGTGGTCACTGCAAAAGTCCAATCTGACAGGTGTCTCCATCTTGGGATCCTTCAGGGTTCTTGAAGCACACCTCTGTTCCATATCCCATATCTTGATTGTGCAATCGTATGAAACACTTGCACAAATTAACGACTCCGTTGGATGGAATTTCACATCATGTACATCATCCGAATGACCTTCAAATGCTACCTCCTCCCAACCCCTGTCCCAGTCCCACAAAGAAATGTTTCTGTCCTCTCCCTCAAAGGATGCAACGAGATAAGGTAGGACGTGATGGATTGCAAAGTTGTATATCATCTTTTTATCAGGTGCATCCAATGTTTTGATGTGCCGCAAGTTCAAAGCCTGTATGCCATACACCTGTAAGCATGATAGCCGAGGGGAGTCTTTGTAACGCTTCACCACAATCCAGTTTTTCTGTGCAACGAATTTAGCCCGCTTCACATCCTGCCTTGTGTTAGGGACGTTCCAGGAGAAGACCCTTGTCCCATCTTCATAATTCCACACTTGTACGGATTTGTCATCAGGCATGAACAGAATCCATGGCTCACGAGGATGAATATCTATAAACAGATTTTGTGAACAGCCACCCTCCAAAATATCGGTCCCCGTCCTCTTAAAGCTAGTCACTAATTTTACCTCCCCTTCTGCATCATCACCTTCCATGCCTCCCTCATTTTTTTCGGGAACGAGAGGTGTGAACACACTGATGCGCTTTCTCTCTAGTGTAAAAACAGTGGCTGTGTCCACAGAGGCCGACCCCAACTTCTCCCGAACTAACTTTTTCGTTTCAGCAGCCCTGTCGGTGTTGGAGGGTTGGCACTCAGGTACTACAGACCTGTTCGTCCAGCTGTCTGTCTCAACAAGTCGAGCAATCGTGAACCTTGCTCAACGAGTCGAACTGGGCGCTCAACAGACTCACTCCTTCATGGTAGCTGGCGGGTTGAGGATGCTTCTCGCTGCCATCGGGAAAAAAAAAAACAAAAAAAAAAACGCGAAAAACGAAACGGAGAGAAAAAAAAAAAAAGAGAAAGAAACCCCCAACAACCACAACAATACAAGGGGTCAGATTCTGCATCATGTCCCCAACAATCTGAGTTTGTTATTCATGTCAGGATCCTTCAGGGTTCTTGAATCAAACCTTTTTTTTTTCTTCTTTTTTTTTAAATATAATTTCAGATTTTTACTGTGCAATCTGTTGAGACCATACTTGCAAGAACCAGCAAGTTGAACTCCGACGGATGGAATCTCACTGCAGGTACAGAACCAGAATGACCTCCAAATGTGACTAGTAGTACCTGCTCCCAACCCCTGTCCCTGTCCCACAAAGAAATATTTTTCCCTTGGCCTGAAAATGACTCAGGAGGCAGCGAGATAAGGTAAGCTGTGATGGGTTGCTAGCCTGCTTACTTCCTGCTGACAAGCTCCATGCTAATATCTTGATGTGCCGCAAGTTTAAAGCTTGTTTTTTTTTGTGTTTTTTTTTTTCCCAAAACAAGAGGCCCCATCTATTCTGAGGGGCAACAGTTCGGTTGCTTATCATCAGCAAGGATGAGAAAAAAAGTTTGGGGAGGGGGATAGAGGAGAAAAGGACGACCTTGCCCTTGTGGCTTGTTCATATACACCTCAGAGTCCAAGCATGACAGCAGAGGGAAGTATTTGTGATGTTTCACCAAAAAAAACCCATTTTAAATTTTCTGTGCAATAAATTTATTTACCAAGGACCACATCATTGCTCACACCAGGGACGTTCCAGGAGGAGACCCTTGTCCCATGATCTGTGTAGTTCCACACTTGAAGGGTTTTTTTTTTTTTTTTTTTACCAAGTCTCCTTGCTAGGAGAGGTGGTACCAGCACCCGGCACAAACAGAAATCAATAGCTTACCAGGGAAGGTCAGAGCCAGAAAAAAATAAAATAAAATAAAAATCTCTGTTATGCAGAAAAATAAACTGAACAACGTTTGCCTCAGGATGACATCAAAATTCTTTACCAAATTGACGTAAAACATACAATCAAAGAGTTTTTTTTTTTTTTTTTTTCCCTATTGTTACGATCCTGGCCAATTTCGAAGTATACATTCATCAGAAAGTACAATGCCGTCCAATTGCAAAAAGAAATAAATGAACTTGAGAGGAGAGAGAGGGAAAGAAATAAAAGAAGAAGAAAGAAAGAAGAAGGAGACGATGTACTCCAGCATAGACCAATGATAATGCTCTTCTTCTTTGCCAACCAATCTCCTCCTCCTTATCTCCTCCTCGCTTATTCAAACAAGAAATAACAACAATAATGTGGAATGCCTGAACCAGAATCAATGTCCGAATCCCACTTCTACTCCAGGGACAACATGAGGTCCACCATAGCCATGCTGTGAATCCCCCTCGGCGGCGGCCAAGCGCGGCCGATTCCGCAGACGCGGCCAGTCCGCCGACCCCGCGGACGCACGGCTTTGACGCCACGTGGCGGCCAGTGGGGAGGGGGGTTCAGGATTCGGGAAGCGCCATGGGGCGGCGCATCCCCAGCCCAACCCCCTCAAACAAAAAAAAATGAAAAAAAACTATTTTTTGTGGGGGGGGTCGGGCGAGTGAAGGTATTTCGAAAAAAAATAAAAATAAATAACAGCGCGTTTTTTTTCTTTTTCTTTTTCGTTGATTGATTGATTGATTGATTGGCCCCACAGGCCCACACACACACACACACACAGAGGTAGGATTGTATATTCCCATGTTCTAGCGGAAGATTCATTCGATTTTGCTTTTTTTTTTTTTTCGTTGATTGATTGATTGATTGATTGATCGATTGATTGATTAGTGCGGGCGGGGTCGGCCCCCCATCCCCAACAGGCCCACACATGCACACACACGCAGTATTGTATATTCCCATGTTCTAACGGAAGATTCATTCGATTTTCCTTTTTTTTTTTTGTTGATTGATTGATTGATTGATTGATTGAGTGGTGGGGGAGGGGTCGCCCCACCCCCCCGCCACCCACCGCGCGCGCGCGCACACACACGCACACACACACACACACACACACACACACACACTCCCCCAAGATCCCACTGCGCAGGCGGGTGAAGGCGCAGCGAAGCGCGGCGCACACACACACACACACACACACACACTCTTAGCTCTCTCTCTCTCTCTCTCTCTCTCTCTCTCTCTCTCTCTCTCTCTCTCTCTCTCTCTCTCT